TATATGCCATGTTGAAATGATACAAATTGCAGATACATGTAAACAATTCAAACGAGGTCATGAACTTCAGGCTGCCGATTAACAATGAATGATTTCGCAGTTGACCGCCTGTGGCATGAGTCCACTCTTATCTTAGCTGTAAGGGATCTTTCTGGTTTATTGGCTAGAGATATTAAAAAGGCGGGGTTATTTCCTTACTACTTTGATTTATATTATGCTACATTTGTATAACAGCGTGTTGTGAAATTTGTTCTTATAATCGATTCATTATAGTGCAGAAAAGATATATAAAAACTACTTTAAGACAGGGAAAATGTGAAGAAAATATGTATTATACAATCCGTATATATTATATGAATGAAAGATATAAGCTATGAAATCATCTAATGAGAGTTATTTTCTTATTGATTAAATTTTCTTGTGACCACTAAAACTAATGATAATGATGAAGGTAATACCAAGTTATTATAAAACAGTTTAATGTTGTTTCAATACTTTTTTTTTCAGATAAAGGATCATTAATGTGAAGAAACAGACTAATAGAAGAAATCAACAAGATATCATACTATACCTAGACTATTTGATGTGAAGGATAATGCTATTTATTGCCTGACAAAATCATGCCATTGTGCTTTGCTTATTTATTTTTGTTGTTGTTTTATTTTAAGCAATTAACCTATATATCTTGAACAATAGATTACATATGTATCGTACTAAAAATAAATAATGAATAAATATACTTTTTGTAAGATTCGCTCAAAAAAGGAGATGAATCAAAAAAGGAGATAAATGGGGCATAAATAGGCCATGTTTAAGTTCTTGTTGTGTGAAAATAGATATTTCGCGACGAGTGAAATATCAGCTTTTTCATGCCACAATATGAAATCAATCCTGTATTTATAGAAAATAAACTTCACTTTTTTGTTTATTATTCATCTTTTTCTTTCGTTTGACACTAAAATTTGAATGACTTTCCCTTTAACTTTATAATTTGACTGAGTTTAGAAGAATGTAGTCCGAAAAGACACCAGTGAAAAACGGAAATATGTTTCACTGCAGTCCTTTCAATAAAACAAGGAAAATAAACTATTTTTTATGTCATCAATATTTCTCAATATTTCAGAATTTATATTAAGGATATTCAAGAATATAATGAAAAAGGATACAAAGGTTTTTTATGTAATTACGTGATTTATTTCATCGAGTGATATGAAAATAAATATTTAGCTCTCTTCTTATTTATCTTTAATATGCATATTGACGACAGTAGATACGACATCAGTGAAATAAGATACATATCGTCACCTTGGCGCAAAAAGTACTGTAACTGACATTTTTGAAATTTTACAGGAGACACAAAAAACTGATTTGTTCATTTTGAGTAAACCCTTTTAATACCAGACATTGATGTGAAAATATCATTAATTAGTATTATAAAATTGGTTTTAAAGATGACAATTATTCATTTATGTATAAAAAGTACTTAGATATTCTTCTTCACTTACAAGACTTTTTGCACTGTGTTTTTAAACGCAAAAAGTGATGCAAGTGCACTTACCATAGTTTTTGCATTAACTTTATTTTTAAGTATCGAAGTTACTGCATAGCATAGACATTGAAAGATGTTTATTACAAACAAATTAATTGTAAGGTTTGTTTAAAATGGGTCATTGTGGATTATGAACCACATTTAATACATTAAACATATGAATGGAAGTTTAAAACTGAATATTTTAAAATTAATTTTAAACAGTAACACTGTAATTCCAAAGCAGTGTATTTTTTTTTTAATTTCAAAGTAAATGTAAGCATTAATCACAACAAAATTACATGAAAACTGCAGACTCGCTTGATTTAGTCTATACATGAGCAGTAATGAAAAGTGCAACATCCTTCACGCCCCCTAGCACTGACTTAAGCTGTACTCAATTTTCAACACTTAAAAGTGCTGGAATCAATGATTACAGAGGACCAGAAAAACATAACAACACTGAAGTGAAGTACATGACAACTTATTAACCATGTTTTTTACTGTTGTCATTTTCTAATGGTACAGTTTATTTATGTATTTGTTATAAAAAGGGGTATTTGGAGATCTATATACATAATATCTATGTCTCAATAATATCCAACCATCACAGGGACGTAGACTTTGAGATTTTGGATAAAACCATTAGGAATCCTGAACTTTTCTAAACATTTTGGTTGGATGTAGTCGAGATTTTGGATGAACCTGCTAAGAATCCTAAACTTTTCTTGTCCAACATATCCCAGTGAGATCCTTTTATATTATCTCTCATGAACAGACTTCAATTTTTATATATAATTTTGTTTTCATTGCTTCTTTCAAAATTTTGATATATTGAATTCAAATTGTCTTATTTCCTGCTACCAAACTTTAAACATTAAACACCGTATCACTATCATGGTTTAATAGCTTTGATTTTATATAGAAATTCAGATTAATTTCTGTGACATAATGTGGTTGGGTCTGTGCAATTTGTACAATTGTTGAAAATTGAGATTTTCTGTTAATTTAAGTGTTTTACATGCACGACATAGAGAATGAACTGAGTCATTCTTATTTTTGATATGATCCCATTCTATATGTATGAATGTAGATCTATGTAGATGCACCACATTACACGTAACAGTTACTAGCAATTATGGTTTTGACCAATATATTATTACAACAGATTACATGTCTTTGTCTGCCATGTTTTTAGAAAAGATAAACCAATGTTAGTAACTGTTTTATTCCAGGGCTATAAACAGTGAAATTGCAGTTACATTTTTATAATACAGTTGTCCTTATATAATGCAATAAGAATGTTCTTTTAAGCAATTTTTTTCTATATTTTCATAAAAAATAATTGAGTAAATAATTGGGGAAAAAAATATATTACTTAGAGCTGTCATCGATAGAAATGATATTAATGTATCGTTGATATATTTTTGTTGATCAATACACATTTTAGAAAATCGATAATTTTGATTTAATAATTAAATGTCTAGAAATTATGAAAATTCAACCAAAACATATGCAGAAGCATATTTCATGGCAGTGATGACACAAAATTAGCAAAAATCATGCAATGGGCATTTGTTTGAAACAGGACACATTTATGAAAAGACCATTTTTTTACTGAAAGCATTTAAACAATTATGGAAAAGAATTAGAGACAAGTAGTTGATACTTAAGGTACGTAATTATCAATATATCTGTGTTTCATCAATATTTTTTCATCTTAAATTTGCTTTCCACCGAATCAATGACAGCTCTAATATTACTTGAATCATTTAAAGATATCAACAAAATTTGAATCCTGAAAAATTCCTAGCTATATTGTTTGTTGTCAAATTCAAATAAAACATTTTCCTTAAATGTAAGTTTCCTAAAGTAGATTTATATATAAAATTTGTATTTTAGAAATAATTTTGCTATTTAATAATGCAGTAGTGAAATATTTTAATGCAGTTACAATACTTTTTGCATCAAATTATTTTCAACTTATCTGTAAAAACATTGGCGCAAAAACTCGTGTAAGTGTACTTACTGTAGTTTTTGCACCAACAAATTCTGAAGCTGCACTTACGTTTTATATTTTTATGCCAAAAAAGTCATTTTTTATCAAAATTCAGCTTCTAAACTTCAGAGACTGGTGAAAGTTTGTATTTCTAACTAAATAATGACAAAAAGTGATTTTCTCAAAAAATGTTAGTTACATGACTTTTTGCTCCAAGGTGACGATATGTTACACTTCAGTTAAAGAAAACTTATACGGATAAAAATTTATTCATAAATGTACAATTGTACAATTAATAAACTATTTAACTTAAAGAATCAAACGTGTATGATTATTTTATAAATATATGTATGAATACGATGAAAAATTTAACAGATAAATATCATCAGTTTTATATAGCCAATATTATATTATTTTTTATACGTAAGAGAATTAGTATTGAATGTATTTTTTCACTACTATATATTCTTGAACAAAATTATGAAAACATGTAACAAAAACGAATCAGTTTGCGTTAAGTTTAAACCCTTCTATTTCATATTTAAAAGATATTGACTGACTGCTATTTATTTAAAATGCTTTTGTAATCCGCATAAATGACAGCTATATTGACCCATTAAAAAGTAAGAGAAATATTATTCTATGCGTATTTATCAAATTACTCCGAACAACGATTTCCAACACTGTCCTTAGAAAATTAACTCGTGGAATATTATCCACAGAACGGACAGGTACAATGCGTTTCGTCGGGGGTTTAAAAGATAGGGGAATTATTCCCCTATCTCTCTAGTATCACTATGTATTTCTCTCTGCATGTAAATTTGTTACTAGAAAAGTGGCTTCAGATCGACCCCCGGAAAAAGGACATCTGGAATTTCCTTTTTTATTCTGGAACGCATTAACCACTTATTTTGCATTTTTTCGCTTAATTTACATTACACCACTTAATCAACAAAACTCCACTTACTTGACATATTCCACAGCTTTCTTTCCACACACCACTTAACATAAATCATTTACTTTATATATACTACCTTCTTTACATTAAACATCTAACTTACAATAGTATAACTAAGTTATGTTGTTTAAGCTTCTTGCTTTACATTAAACATCTAACTTACAATAGTATAACTAAGTTATGTTGTTTAAGCTTCTTGCTTTACATTAAACATCTAACTTACAATAGTATAACTAAGTTATGTTGTTTAAGCTTCTTGCTTTACATTAAACATCTAACTTACAATAGTATAAATAAGTTATGTTGTTTAAGCTTCTTGCTTTACATTAAACATCTAACTTACAATAGTATAACTAAGTTATGTTGTTTAAACTTCTTGCTTTACATTAAACATCTAACTTACAATAGTATAACTAAGTTATGTTGTTTAAGCTTCTTGCTTTACATTAATCGAGAATTTAACCACACAGCCACTGATGCCATTAAAATTGCCATGTTAAAAATGGAAAACTTACAATTATTTCAGATATAAGATCTGCAGGCCCGGACAAGTCAAAATCTTCTGCATTTGGTCCCATTGCATGAAAACCCTCAAGAGCAAAACCTGAAATAAAAGGTAATGAGCTGCGTCATGAAAAAACCAACATAGTGTGTTTGCAACCAACATGGATTCGCGTTCCCTTGTAAATTATAATTACTTTTTTCAAAGAAAACTGTTTAAGGTGACTTTCTAGCTTGTTATAGTAATAGATTTAGTGAAAACCAAAATACTTTTAGATACACTATTTAGAACATTATCTTTACAGATTAATAAAGAAACTTCTAAGCTTTCAAATATTTGAAGAATTTTGTGTCCAGGGCAGGTGATTTAAGGTCTGAAAAATTGCACTATAGTCATATAGTCAAAGTAAAAAAATTTTTTAAGGGCAATAATTAAAAAATCATGAAGTACAGGGTACTGGTTCTTGTGCACTGCACTTCTTCTCCATGAGATCTATCATACTATGAAGTTTCAAGTCCATAGCTTGTATAGTTTAGGAGAAATGGTCCGGACAAAAATACAGTATGAAAAATAACTAAGGGCAATAACTCAAAAAATAAGAAGAGCAGAGTTACCATTCTTGTGCATTGCACTTTGGGATATTGAAAGAAGCGTGCATACAAAGTTTTGAGTCAATCAGACTTATAGTAATTGAGGTATGCTCAGGACAAGCCTAAGGAGACACTGCTACCACCTACACCGCTGACACTGCTGACAAAAGTAACCCCTATATGTTGTCTTTTCCAAGACCAACCAATAAACCATGAATCTGATGTATGCTCTTTTAAAATATATACCTTCAACATTTCTGGCAACAGTTTCTCGGGTACATCTCTGCCTCTCTTTAAGATCGTAACCGCCGACGATGCTTCCAAACATTACTGACTTCCCCAGTCTCTGTATATAAACATTATATAAATAATATCCTCAATCCTCCAAATATTTATCTAATTTATTAGGTAAAATAATAATATTTAAGAAGTAACAAACTCTATATTTCCAATATTTTCTGTCATTTAAATATAAATATTGAAAATATGGAGTTTATTATTTCTTGAATATTATTATTTTATCTATTTCAACACTGCACTAGGAACATTTATCATGTCTTAATATCTAATTTATTATATATATATAGATCATGCTTGTTTGCAGTGAAATATGGAATATATATCTCACTAATAAGTGTGAATTTTGTTGAAAACAACAACAAATATCTATGTGACAATTTTAATATGCATTGGAAAAAACAGGTATTTAACATACATATATATATTTGTTACTGGAGGGCTTTTGCCCACCTTGTTAATTTCATGGGAGGGGATTATGGTTATGGTCTCAGTTAAAACACACAACCAGTCATTTGCTAAATTTCAATCAGTAATCATACCACATCTGATTAAAAAGAAAATACATTTATTTAATTTTACCCATGAAATATGGTGCTATATCAGTCAAATATATTTCATATTTGTAAAAAAAATATATATGAAATATAAATATAAAAGAGGGCGGAGTCAAAACTCATATTTATTTTAAGGAACTTCTTTATTTTACGAAACATGATAAAATGCCACATATTTTCACTCGCTGTCCCGGCTCGTCAAAATTTGTGGCATTTTATCATGTTTCGTGAAAATATATTCCATATTTCACTCAAACAAACAAATATCCTCTTAGTATTTTAACATTTTTAAAATATGTGAACTACTTACCTTTGACTTGTTTATTTTATCCAGTACATCATCTAAAAAGTTCAGGGTTCTATCTACAGCCTTGGTTGCCCTTTTTCTTGTGCTAGTTTTATCTGTGTCGCCATCAGACATACACTGGAATATATCTGGTAAGATAGCCTCCTGTAGCTTCACAAATCCATCAGTGTCTAACTACAAAACAAAACAGGAACTAAGGGAAGTGGTGACCCCAGATATGACAAACCAATCAGCCTGCATGTTAATATCTTCAGTTGACCCAAATGCTGTAGTTTACTTCCAATAAACAGTCTGTCAATACGTAGTAGCAAATGTATTTAGATTTTAAATGCATGTGTAACTTTGCCTTTTCCAAGCCATTGCAGGAAAAACTAACTTGCACAGTTTGGGAAATTTTGCATCATAAAATTATTTAATTGAAATAAATATCTGGTACCTTTTGAGACCTCCTCATGCATTTTTGGCAAATTATTTTGAACTGTGCAAAATTGTTTATTCCAACCAATGCAAATATCATCAAAGCATAAAAATATTAAAATTTGACAATAACATCTGAATTAACTCCAGCAATTTTTTAAGAATTTCAGTTCAATTGGTAATTCTTTTTAAAGATTGGGGGAAAAATAAGCATATTTGCTATTGGGAATCTATCTGGTAATCTGACCCATGGTGAAACTGGGAAAATGTTACATATGTTACATCTTGTACACTAACACTGAGCCTGCTGGCTGCATTAACTGATTCTATTACCTATGTAACCAGTACAGACCAAGATCACCACTCTCTGATAGAACCAGTGACTGTCTGTAACCTATGTAACCAGTGCAGACCAAGATCACCAGTCTCTGATAGAACCAGTGACTGTCTGTAACCTATGTAACCAGTGCAGACCAAGATCACCAGTCTCTGATAGAACCAGTGACTGTCTGTAACCTATGTAACCAGTACAGACCAAGATCACCAGTCTCTGATAGAACCAGTGACTGTCTGTAACCTATGTAACCAGTGCAGACCAAGATCACCAGTCTCTGATAGAACCAGTGACTGTCTGTAACCTATGTAACCAGTACAGACCAAGATCACCAGTCTCTGATAGAACCAGTGACTGTCTGTAACCTATGTAACCAGTACAGACCAAGATCACCAGTCTCTGATAGAACCAGTGACTGTCTGTAACCTATGTTACCAGTACAGACCAATATCTGATCATCAGTCTCTGATAGAACCAGTGACTGTCTGTAACCTATTTTGATAGAGTTTACATATAAAATTCCAAAGACTGCAGTGGGATTCAGACCCATATCATTGAGGGGCATGAGACTAGAATTCTGCGCCCTTAACCACACAAGCACCGAACCTCAGCTATGAAATAATCTGCAATATTTCAATTTAGTCTTTTTACATAGTAAAAAAAAGCACATCTAAATGAATGTAATATTAAAGTTGAAACCAACCTTCATCTTGCCTCCTTTACCCCAAAGTCCAATCCCTGACTTTTCATTGTAGCCAGAAGGTACCTGTACTGCTGGGTCTGTGTTAGATGTATAGACTATTTTATCACTTAGTGCTGTAAACTTTGCCATTCCATCCTTGTAACCGTCAATACTTTCTTCATACTGTGCTCTTGAATCATAAAATTTAAGTTTTGAGGTATAATTTTTCCACTGTGTTGAGTCAGGGTCTTTCAAATAGAACTTTGAAAGACCCCGGTTGTGTCAAAGAATACACTCCATTTAAGAAATGATTACCTCCCTTTGTTAATCATAAAATAGGTTGATTAAAAACAGCCTAAGTTTATACAGAAAAAATGATTGACTAAGAAGCTATAAGCTTATAAAAGCACTCTCTTATTCATTCCTAGAACCAAACAGTACTGAGCAGTAAGTGTAAAGTTTCTTGCTCAAGGTAACAACAGCTTGCCCCTGACAGGGTTTGAACCCACACAGCAAGTTATCCTAAGAAAACTAGTCCTTGATCTTGGACAAGCTGTGACTCTGCTTGACTGGATTAAATCTGATAGAAATGTACAGACTACAATCTGATCTTACAAATCTGACACATCAAAGTTTTGTGTATAGCTTAATGTTGTTATACACAGTCAATATATAAAAGACTAACTATTACACTAATACATGTACATGTATACAAAACTAATTTTGGTTTCTGTCGCATTACATAGCTCCAGTATATAGTACAACCTTTGTGGAGCAACTCCATATAGGAGACAAAAGTTTTTTTGCTGCGGATGAAAGGTCATTAATGAAGTGGACATATTTATATTCACTGTAAAGTAAAACTTAAGGGAATAATGAGACTGTTGATGTAAAGAGGTGATTGTACTACAGAGGTTAAACTAATTGTGAAGTCTTACTTTCGGGAATAATGATATTGTTGTTGTAAAGAGGTGACAGTACTACAAAGGTTAAACTTATTGTGAAGTCTTACTTAAGAAAATAATTATATTGTTGTTGTAAAGAGGTGACTGTTCTAAAGAGGTTAAACTTATTCATATTGTAAAGACTAACTTTAGGGAATAATGAGTCTGTTGTTGTAAAGAGGTGATTGTACAACAGAGGTTAAACTTATTGTGAAGTCTTACTTTAGGGAATATTGATATTGTTGTTGTAAAGAGGTGACAGTACCACAGAGGTTAAACTTATCATGAAGTTTAACTTCGGGAATATTGATATTGTTGTTAAGAGTTGAGTGTACAGCAGAGGTTAAACTTATTGTGAAGTCAAACTTTAGGGAATAACGATATTGTTGTTTTAAAGAGTTGAGTGTACAACAGAGGTTAAACTTATTGTGAAGGCGAACTTGAGGGAATAATGATACTGATTGTATTACAGATGGATGCTCTGCAAAGGTTGAACTGTATGTAAAAATATAACTAGGTTTTAACATCAAGTTGGTCACAAATTAAAATTTTATATCATTTTACATAAGTTCAGTAAGTATAGTTAAAATACTTACAGCTGACACAAGGGCATATGTACTACAGCTGGAACATCTTGAAGTTTCTGCAACACATCCCGTGACAAGTGAGCCGCACTGCCTTTAATTAGAAAATATTTCATACATAAGGAAGGCAATATAATGTTTTACATAAAACAAAGAGAAACATAAATAAACAAAGTAATACATGTATCTGTTATCCTATATTATATTCAACAATTCAAACAAAACTTTATGTTACCCCTGAACTTGTCTGAACCAAAAATGAGTACAGTTCGACCAGGTTCTATACTGTTGCTTTAAACTAAAGGTTTCATTCTTCTTGATAATTATAGGTCATTAATAATTATAGAAATATTTGATATTAAAGTGTTACATTGCATCGATCATACATGCATGTCAAAGTTTCTGTTGAACCTGCCTGAATCAAATGTGAGTGCAGTCTGAGACCATTCAGGTTCTATACTGTTGCTTAACTAAAGGTAAATTCTTGATATATAGAGGATATTTGTTTGTTTTGCATGTAAGATTGAAATATAATTTCACTGAGTGAACACCAGATGCAATATTTTCACAAGTGGCGTAGCCACGAGTGAAAATATAATAGCTGGTGTTCACGATTGAAATATATTTCAATCTTATATGTAAAAGAAATAAATTTTCTTTTTATTTCATGCTTTTTAAGTGATTTTAAGTATTTTTTACTGATTTTTCCACGTAACGTCACGCATTCTCCTTTGTGACGTCATCATATCATGACGTAACATCATCAATTTTGAAATATAGTTCTGTTAAATTTCTCTAATTTTGTTACATTTTTAACATGATGTATGGTGACATCGACTTTCTTTTCCTAAGGAAGCAAAATTTACGTATGACGGCATTTATTCCTGCCTGTTATTCCATTTAGTTATGATTTTCTTTTCATCCGCATTCAGATATAGTGCGGCTACAGTGAAAATTATATTTTATAAATTTCACTAGTGGTTTATCAGAATATAATCATCTGATATATTACAATAAAACACTGGAAAGCATGAAATAAAGATCTTTAATAATTAAATAGAAATTAAAGTGTTTCATTGCATCATTTGTCAAAGTTTTTCTGTTAAAAAAATTTACTTGAAACTTACATTAAGTCTAATATTTCTGTAGTCCTTGATATTTAAAGCACATAAACAACAGCTATGTTGCTTTTTAAACTTATTCTCCTTTGAAACAAAGGAACTTTATATATAATAAATAATTTTATACATAATCAATCATACTACTTTTATTTGATCTCCTATGAGAGCTAACATTCCAACAATTCTGGGAAAAGTGAAGTGTATTACCTCCCCTTGTGTACAGCATGCACATGGGCGTCTCGACTGTGACATCTTTATTCTGACCAATCTCTGACAATCTCCCGAGTCTGGCTCCTTGACTTCGTACACATTGAATACTGAACTTCATAGTCTCTGTAACACATTAATTAATTATAACAGACTGTGTTGTGATGGAATACTATAACAGATAATGTTAATTGTGATGGAATACTATAACAGATAATGTTAATTGAGATGTAACTCATACAATAACAGATAGTGTGAATTATGACAGAACGCAATAACAGATAGTGTGAATTATGACAGAACGCAATAACAGATAGTGTTAATTATGACAGAACGCAATAACAGATTATAAGTGTTAATTATGACTGAACGCAATAACAGATAGTGTTAATTATGACAGAACGCAATAACAGATAGTGTTAATTATGACAGAACGCAATAACAGATAGTGTTAATTATGACAGAACGCAATAACAGATAGTGTTAATTATGACAGAACGCAATAACAGATAGTGTTTAATTATGACAGAACGCAATAACAGATAGTGTTAATTATGACAGAACGCAATAACAGATAGTGTTAATTATGACAGAACGCAATAACAGATAGTGTTAATTATGACAGAACGCAATAACAGATAATGTTAATTGTGATAGAGCACTATAACAGATAGTGTGAATTGTGTTGGAGAAGAGTAATGACTAGATTACTCAGTTATCTGCATCAATGCTAACAGAGGGTGATTTTCTTTATTTATATAGGTCTTTCAAAATCCAGTTATTTAATTGGTGTGAATTGTCAGGCTTAAAGGGACTCCACTGAGGTTCAAAAGCCTAAAAACATAACATTTTAATTTATTACATAAATGAGCAGGATCTGTGACTTTAAACAGAAATATATGCAAAGAAATTTAAGAAATATACTTTGATATAAATTGAAAATATTATTTTTATGCTTTTCTTAGCCCGATTTGAGTGAAAAGCGTTTAAACGCTTTTCATTTTGGGTCATTTTTTACAATTTGAAAAATGATTCTGGAAAAACGTAGTACGAGAATTGTCTGAAATTTTGCACAAAGATTAGTGGTCTAAAATAGAGAAAGCAAGAATCCCTAAAGAAAGTCCAACACAACATAATAGAAAATGTTGCAGGCTCGGTTTGATTGAGCCTGTTCATGGACGGTACTGTAAAGTGCAAACTACCGTCCACGCCCCCTAGCACCGGCTTAAGCAGAATTCAACATTTAAAATGAACTGGTACAATCTTAAATTTTGAAACATCCGCAGATGTGTTCATATGGCGGTTATCATGGAACCTTCAATGTGACACTAAGTGCCATTCCATGAAAAGCGGCATATGGTCCCCAAGTAAAATCAAAGGGCTGCAGCTCTATGTTATTTTCTGATTTTTGCAATCTAAATCATACTGACTATCTGTATGTACTTTCCTGTATAAGTTTATTTTTATATACTATAATTCATCTTACGCAGCGACAGCGTTTTGATTTTCTTCTATAACAGTTTAAGATTGATACATATGGAATTTTGCATGAAAAAAAAATAATAGAATTGCCTCGACTAGGATTTGAACCATAGGCCTCTCACACCCTCAACGAGACCGCTTACGTCTGCACCACGGCGAAGTTATACATAATTATGTACCTTGAATAAAAACGAATACATTATGTAATTCTAAATTGAGAATTTCCATTTTGTGTTAGTAATCCTTATTAATTTTGAGGTATTTTGTTCACGATAAACCTGTTGTTTAACACTGATGAAAATAATTTAGCGAAAATCTTCTCGCTAAAACAGTCCAACATGTATATCAGTCAGATTTATTTGTGTACTACGCTCTGGGGTATTCGGTAATCGACATAGCTAAAAATAGCATTTTCATTGATCATGATAATCCGAAGCTTTACGGAAATAGCCGAACATTTTTCATTGGGTAAAAAAGATATTCATCCGCGAAATTTGTGATTGTAACCTCATATTTCTGTTGACTAATCTAAACTTTTAATGCACTGTAATTCGTCAAATGCCTACATTAAAAATTATTCTTTCTTTTAAATTGCTGGTTTTTAAGCAGTTTTGAGTGAGAACTACTTTGCGTTGTTAGGACTGTGAGGAAATTTTGTGTTAGACCGTGGATGTTAGCTATATGTATTTACTGATCTTACGATCAGAAAATACAAAAATGCGTGTGCCCTAAACGAGAAAACAATGGGCGGAACTAAATATAATGGAATTTTGAAATAGGTTATGAAGCCTACATCAAATGGTACATTTATCTTGAAAAAATATTTTCAGTCCCATCATGTCAAAAAACCTCAGTGGAGTCCCTTTAATAATAAGTGGTATAAGCAATAAAGGAAGCAATAAACAGTTGCAACTTATATTCAATAAGTGGTCTGACCTTTGACTACAACCACCCGTCCCTAGATTTGCCACTAAAATGCCACCCTTTTCAATGGTGGAGTATTTAGACAATTTTCCACCAATAATGCCACCAAAACGCCACCCAAATTATGAAAATGGTGAAAAATTTGAGCAGGACTGATGTTATATAATTTTCCAGTTATTTCCACCTTTTTTACACTAAATGCCACCAATGAGTGGAAAATTGGTGGAGTATTTAGACAAACTTTCACCATAATGCCACCATTATGCCACCTTAGGGTGGCAAACTCATTTTCCACTAGATGCCACTTGTTTCCACTTATTGCCACCATAATGGTGAAAAATTGGTGGAGTATTTAGACAAATTTCCACCATTATGCGACCATTGAGTGGCAAACTTATTTTCCACCAAATGCCACTTATTTCCACCTTTTGCCACCATAAGGGTGGAAAATTGGTGGAGTATTCAGACACTTTTCCAGCATTTTGCCACCAGATAGTGGCAAATTCAGTTTCCACTAAATGCCACCTATTTTCACCCTTTCAGAAATTTTCCACCTTGTGGGTGGCATTATAGCTGGAAACTGCTTGAAAGTCACCCTGTACCCTAAATTGGAAACAAACAAATTTTAAAAATAATCCTTTTTAATGTTTCCATATGAAATCATATATTGTCTCAAAAAATAGCAAAACATTAGTCCATATATTTTCTTCAGTTTATCTTGCTATTCCTGGACGGTTTGAGTTCAGTCCTTAAGGTTGTCGGCAACTTTTCGAGCGCACAATCTAAAACAAAAAAAAATATGAATGATTAATACAATAATTAATCAAAGCACAGAAGGCGCTGAATTTGTTTGGGTCTCAGAATGTCAGAAAGGTGAAGGTTGTGAGATTATAAACCAATTTGTTTTTGTAAAGTGCCACCAATGCTTTCCAGTGTTTTAACTGTAGTTAATTGGTTATAAGACTAATTGCAACACTGATAGTCAATTCAATGTTTATTTGACTTAAAAAAAAATGAGTTGCCTCAACTGGGATTTGAACTCGAGACCTCTCGATTCATAAGCGAGCGTGCAAACCCCTCGGCCACGGTGAAGTTATAAGTTATCGGCTTGAAGAAAACCATATTATTCTAAATTAGGGTTTGTAACTCTTATTATTTCGACGCTAAACCTGTTGTTTAACACAGATGTAAATAATCATGGAGCTTACTGTAAGCATGTATATCTATAAAGAATGAAACAATATTAGAAATCTTCGACCATTCGGGAACTACTTTGCTTGAAAATTAATGCGCCTGTCATTTGACAATCTTTACGCATTGATCTCCCCTGAATTTTTCGGCGTTAGTGTACATATAAAGGGAAGTAACCGCTTCAAAAAAGTGGACTACTTTAGGCATTTGCAATTAACAGCATTAGACTCTGAAATTTCGCTACCATTATTTGTTTGGTCTGACGACCCAAACAAATAAAAACATAAGCTTACATTTTTATATGACTATTGGATATTTCTATATTCAATTTGAGTGCATAGATATGATTAAAACACTTTTAAAAACAGCCCTGCAGACGTGGAAGAATCAGACTTTTCTTATTTACTCCAAGGCAGAAAATATACGCAGAATCAAAAATGATATTTTCATTCAGTTCATTAGTTACCTTCCAAGAACTTAAGTTTTGACTTGTCTGCACAAGAAGGTCTGGTGTCAGACTCTCTGTTCCCTTTCCTCATACCAAACAATGAGCGGCCTTTAATCTCTTCTATATTGAATAGCATTCTAAAGAGCCTTGTTGTACCTTTCTCTTTTGAGGCATATGGCTTCAGTTCTGCCATCACTTGGTCCTAAAATATGATTATCAATATATAATATGTAAAGACAGAAAATGAAACACTTTTATAAGACCTTGGTATATGTATACAACTCTAAAATTTTAAAATAAGAAAGAAATAAAGAAATACAACACATCAACACCAGTGCAGGTTGAGTAATTAATAATCTTCCAGTTTCAGTTCTTAACGAACCTTCATCAGGATAAATATTTGATAAAATTTTCAAGCTAAAATGTACAAAAACTCTAAAATTTGTAAAACAAAATGTAAATGCAAATTAAAGTGTCATAAAGAGTTTGAATTAAAGTAGGTTTGTAAATAGTGACTAATAGCTATATTTATCAAGAACCTTTGTAAAGCCACTGAAGATCAAATGTGTTGCTCCAGGCTGCTCCTCATTGCTTTGTGCCTGCAAAATAATAATTCTAATTTAATGCTGTTTCTGTTATGAACTGTCATTCTCCTAATAGCATGTTACTCTAGACTGTCTAGTTATGGTTATATAATTATCTACTGCACCATGAAAGCTGAATTACAACAATGAAGGAATGAAACTTACTTATAAATCAGTTACTGTTAATCTGCTCCACATGTGACACACAAGGAAAATTGTTTATAGCATGAAAGTTGTAGTAATAGGTACCTCAGGTTATCTATAGTTTGATTGATGTAATATTGTACATAATGGTATTGTACTTACTGATTAATTTCTATAATTTTTTTCTCAAACTTAAAATTTCTAACATATTGTATTTAAGAAATGATGAAGATCTTCCTACATTCTTTATATTCCTACATTCTTTATATGTACATTGTACATGCAGTTTTCTTTTTAGTCAAGTTACAAACAAAACAAATATAAAACACAATTTTATACAATACCACTTCATATTTTCACTGTCAAAAAACTAAACAGTTTCTGCATAAATAACAATAATTATTGTATGTAAAAGTTGTTTACCTGAAACTTTGACTGGGAATGATTCTGCTGTTTATCTTCTTGTCTACACATTCACACGAATCAGTTAAAACTTCTCATTTCTATTTACCACACTAATAAGACTTTAAATGTTTTCTTTGAGAAATCAAAAATATGCACCCTTACATTTTAAACAAAATATCTCCAGAATTGCTACAATATCAATAATTTCCTTTGTGTTTGCAAGCTTTAACTGACCTCAATTCCTTTGAATTCAAACTTTACAACGGTGTAACTGCATGGACAGTCCATTATAATTTTAAATTGTGAGGGGTTTTCCAAAAACCATAGCACCCATCATTTTATTTTTTACATTCATTTGAATGTATAACTATATCTAATACCTAAATAGATTGAGTAGAAATAAGCTTTTGAAAGATAATTTAGCATGCTATTTTAAGACAAATTCTACATAAAAACATGTATAATGTTGCCTCTCCCAAAATAATCAAATGGAACATTCTGGTCAGCATTAGTAAACTATTAACCCCCATTCATAGATTACTAGATAAGAGGGCAGTAGTTTTATCAGATCTGAGATGTATGCTGTGTTGTAAAATCTTAGAGGATGCAGTATTTAGTACTAGCTAGTAGTTACTTATCCTGATTGTAAGAAATTTATCAGACATTATGACTTATTTACTTTTCACACATTTATTTTTACAATAGATTTAAAGCCTCTGAAAGCATAGCACAAAAGATGTTAGAGACAATAATTTTAAACTCCACATATAACTAAATCTCATTTATGAGAAGTTACAATGCCAAGGAACCATAACTTTTTATTGCATGATTTGGGGTTTATTGCCATTTTTTACTTCTCTATGCTTAATTTTTGTCTTGATCATTAAGCTTAAAAAGTACTGGAGATATTAATTAAAAACTTCACAGATATAGATCTTTTTGAGTAATGTGCTGTGTTTAAGAACCATAACTCTTTGCATACTTTTGGAGTTATTGCCCTTTGCATTTTTCACTTTAATTATTGTAAGCATTACATGAAAAGTGTTAGTACTCACCAGATATCAGTTTAAAGTAATATTGAAGAGACAATTTATTATGTCAATTAGAAGAAAAGACAAAAGTCAAACTTTATTCAAGATTGACATTAAATATCATAGGAGAAGCAACAAACTTTATGCAGAGATATGCATTTTCTGGGCATATAAGAACATTTCAACTATTTAATGTACAGATTATAACTAAAGAACAAAGTACACTTTAAAAGCCGTAATTTTATTTTACAAGCATAGAATGGAACATAAACATTTTGACTTGAAAGTCAAATTTTACATCCCTAAAGAAAAGTACTGCCATAAAAAATGGGAAGTTAAGTAACCCCGTACTTTTCTAATTTTTCCTGATCATAATTATATGTGTTTAACGCCTGGAAAAGTGATTTTACGTCCAATTTCTGTGTCTTTTCCTGGTGCTACTTTACAGCTGGAATTATCATACCGTTACTGTCAGGCAGTGACTTTGTATCATAATTGTATTCATGGCATTCTAGTATTTTTAAGAAATATGAGTTTCTGATAAAATTTTCTAACTGTTCAACTTCAATAAATTATATTTTTGATAAAAAGTTCACTTGATGCTTTGGTAGAGTACAAACTATAAACAGATTTATTTCAGTTTGGAGCTTTGACTTAAATAAATCTTAAACCCTGCAATGCACAATTATTAGATTTCTCAGTTTTTTCCACCAATTTTTATACAACCCAGAAAATAGTTAAGAGTTTCCCTTTTCGACTAAAAGTTATTCACAAAATTTTCTAAGTTTTTTTCCACTATTTTGCCACCCAGAAAATAGTTAGAGTTTCACTTTTCCACTAAAAGCCACTCATTTTCCACCTTCAAAATAAACTAAGTTTCATTTTTCACCAATTTCCACCCTTTTGCCACCATAAAAAAAGTCTATGTTCAAATTTCCACTCAATGCCACCTAAATGCCACCAAAGGATAGTGGCATTTGGTGGCAATTTTGCCACTACAGTGGAAAAAGAGTGGAATTTTGTCATTTTCCAGTTAATGCCACCTTTTTTACACTTAATGCCACCCTTTTCAGTGGAAATAGCTGGCAAGTAGTGGCAAATCTAGGGACGGGCAGTTACTCTTAACCAAGCATTACAATGATTCCATAGTGGGAAGCCTTAGTCCCCAGAATTCATTGAATTTTGAAGTCAAGCTATAAAAAAGTAAATATTTATGTCTTTCATTTAGCATAAATGAAATCACAGTATTAAGAACAACGGTTCAACTAATTTGAGAACAGAATACAGAACAAGAAGACTAACTTAAAGTTTTTAGAAGAGCTGACTAAGGAACAGTATATTAGGGTCCCTATAGTTATATGTAGCTCATTTTCTCTTTCACATAGTCCAACTAATTAGAATTGTCAAAGAGACACCGAGATAATTTTGGACAGGCGCTGTCTTTTTCCAATGGTTTGACAGTAAGAAAAAAAATTCTGTAAAATGGGTCAAACTGTAGAAGTGTGTCGTTTCATAGAACTGTTCACTTATTGGGGAGAGACTGGATAACTTAGTCGGATGGTAGAGATCTCTGTGGAACAGAATTCCAAAATGTACCTGGTTCAACTGAGTGTTTAAGTTTTAAGGCCTGCATATTTTCCCCACTCTTTGGTAAATTTTAAGATTGGAAGTGGCTAGCCGTACGGGCCCGTACGACTAGCCAAAAGTTCTAGTTGTACGTGAGTCACGATGACTAGCCAGGATGCACTGTATTGTCTAGCCGTACGGCACTTTTCAAAATTATATGGAAGTCGAAAATCCATGAATTATTTTGTGTCTTTAAACAATGATTTTAACCATGTCTCTGCATTTGTCCTCGTGTGTTCACTTTAATAAAGATGCTCCGCCATTTTGTAAAAAAAAAATGAATACCAACAAGCGTTGTAATCTTTCTTGATAAAAGTGTCAAAATTGCATGTTATAAGTTATAACATCGTTGATTTTCATGCTTATGATTTGTTGTTTTATTTGAATGAAAGATGAATTATTAAATCATTTTTGTTAATTAAGCACATCCATGGATCGGATAAATAATCATAACGGCAAAAGAACCTTTTTCATAACGACATGATCTGAGTGGAATCATAAAATAAACAAGATATGTTTGTAAAACATGTATGCCCCCTATCAGCAGCCAATTAGTCATGTGATAAGGTTATTATGCATGACTTCTGACCCAGTGATCAAACAATTAATAAGGGTTATCAAGTATCTACTGGTCATGACCTTAACCTTTGACCCCTTGACCCAAAACTCAATAGGGGTCATCTGCTGGTCATGACCAATCATCATACAAAGTTTGAAGTTCCTATGCCTAAGCGTTTTTAGTTAATTGATCGGAAACTGTTTTAACATACAACCTCAATGTGACCTTGACCTTTGACCCCTTGACCCCAAAATCAATAGGTCATCTGCTGGTCATGACCAATCACCATACCATGTTTGAAGTTCCTAGGCCAAAGTTCTTAAGTTATTGATTTGAAAGCATTTTTACCTACAAGGTCAATGTGACCTTGCCCTTTGACCCCTTAACCCCAATATCAATAGGGGTCATCTACTGGTCATGACCAATCACCATACCAAATTTGAAGTTCCTAGACCTAAGGGTTCTTTAGTTATTGATCGGAAACCGTTTTTACCTAAGACATCAATGTGACCTTGACCTTTGACCCCTTGACCCCAAATTCAATAGGGGTCATCAACTGATCATGATCAATCACCATATTAAGTTTGAAGTCCTTAGGCCTAAGGGTTCTTTCGTTATTGATCAGAAACCGTTTTTACCTACAAAGTCAATGTGACCTTGACCTTTGACTCCTTAACCCCAAAATCAATAGGGGTCATCTGCTGGTCATGACCAATCACCATACCAAGTTTGAAGTTCCTAGGCCGTAGGGTTCTTTAGTTATTGATCGGAAATCATTTTTACCTACAATGTCAATGTGACCTTGACCTTTGACCCCTTAACCCCAAAATCAATAGGGGTCATCTGCTGGTCATGACCAATCACCATACCAAGTTTGAAGTTCCTAGGCCTAAGGGTTCTTTTGTTATTGATCAGAAACCGTTTTTACCCAAGAGGTCAATGACCTTGACCCCAAATTCAATAGGGGTCATCAACTGATCATGATCAATCACCATATTAAGTTTGAAGTCCTTAGGCCTAAGGGTTCTTTCGTTATTGATCAGAAACCGTTTTTACCTACAAAGTCAATGTGACCTTGACCTTTGACTCCTTAACCCCAAAATCAATAGGGGTCATCTGCTGGTCATGACCAATCACCATACCAAGTTTGAAGTTCCTAGGCCGTAGGGTTCTTTAGTTATTGATCGGAAACCGTTATTGATTACAATGTCAATACGACCTTGACCTTTGACCCCTTGACCCCAAAATCAATAGGGGTCATCTACTGATCATGACCAATCACCATACCAAGTTTGAAGGTCCTAGGCCTTAAAGTTCTTTAGTTATTGATCGGAAACCGTTATTGCTTACAATGTCAATACGACCTTGACCTTTGACCCCTTAACCCCAAAATCAATAGGGGTCATCTACTGATCATGACCAATCACCATACCAAGTTTGAAGTTCCTAGGCCTTAAAGTTCTTTAGTTATTGATGGGAACACGTTTTTGCTTACAAGGTCAATGTGACCTTGACCTTTGACCCCTTGACCCCAAAATCAATAGGGATCATCTACTGATCATGACCAATCACCATACCAAGTTTGAAGTTCCTAGGCCTTAAGGCTCTTTAGTTATTGATCGGAAACCGTTTTTGTTTACAAGGTCAATGTGACCTTGACCTTTGACCCTTTGACCCCAAAATCTATAGGGGTCATCTACTGTTTATGACCAATCACCATACCAAGTTTGAAGTTCCTAGGCCTTAAGGTTCTTTAGTTATTGATCGGAAACCGTTTTTGCTTACAAGGTCAATGTGACCTTGACCTTTGACCCCTTGACCCCAAAATCAATAGGGGTCATCTACTGGTCATGACCAATCACCATACCAAGTTTGAAGTTCCTAGGCCTAAGGGTTCTTAAGTTATCACTCGGAAACCATTTGGTCTACGGACCGACGGACCGACAAGTGCAAAGCAATATACCCCCTTTTCTTCGAAATGGGGGCATAATAAAAACAATATTGAAAAAAAAAAGAAAAAAAAATGGTGAAAAGCAAAATCAATTGTATATCTTTTAAATACAGTAGATAAATGTCGAACATAAAAGCACAATCAATTAATTAGTCTTTTTTAAAGCCTATCCAGGGAATTTTAGGAAGCGTTTCACAGAACATTGCAAACTTTTCTTAATGATGGACAAACTTCTATACTGTCGGTAATTGACGCAATTATCAGAGCCGAGATCAATTATTTTCGGTGTTTTTTTTTCCATTTAATAAGGTTTCGAAAATTAAACTTATTGAAACAAAAAAGTATTAATTAATCAAAATTGCGTAAATTAAACTTCATGTATTTCAATTGGTGTTATTCAACTGAAACTGAACGCTCTTTTTTCTTGGTTAAAATCCATAACATAACATATGCTTTTTCGACTTCCATATAATTTTGAAAAGTGCCGTACGGCTAGCCAATACAGTGTGTCGTGGCTACCCTAGAACTTTTGGCTAGGCAGCTACCCACTTCCTTTAACTGTTTAACAGTTTAAGATTCTACTCTAAATCTTTCCTGCACTTAGTATCTTAAAGTAGCTTCAGTATAGCCTGGGATTCAGGCGTTGATATTTTTTGCTTATTTATAACTTACGCGCTATTTTGTACTCGATCGTCATGGATAACGCACAACATCTCTGGTTTTGATAGTATCAATTTGCCGAACAGAAGCACATAAAAAATCGACAGACTGGAACCCAGGCTAGCTTCAGTACATTGACACTACCAAAAAGTCTGTCGAATATTGAGTAACTATCAACAGTGATAAACTGATGATCAGAGATCTGCCGAGGACGTGATTTTGCGCCATTGGCGCTAAAAAAATGAGAATGGTGCAGGAAAATCGGCAGCAAAGGGCCATGGGCGCATCATTTGTGGCAGACTTATAAGAAAACAAAACTGTCTGCTGGTTCATTTAGTCATCCAGTCAAAACTGGTACCAATTGCAGCATTCCCCTGTAATTACGCATATTCTTGAGTTTATCCATTCCCCTATAGCTTTTGTCCATGTTATCTACTTACCGCATTTCTTCTCATAATTCCTTTCCCACACAGATACTCATTTCTACTACGTAAATTTAATCCAATATAACAAACAAACAAATTATACAACTACTTAATATTTAAAATGATTATAGGTAACTGAAAAAAAGTGTTGCTATTTTTAGAAATGCTGTAAGTTACAGCATAATCTGACAGGTGTACAACATTAGCACCCCTAAGGTCACTCAAGTTGACGCAAGCTTTGTAAAAAAAAAGATGTCTATTTCGTCATCAGAATATTTGACAGGGTGATTAACCAATCAGGGAAACATTGTGCATGACTTTTTTCATGATCAAAAGGTCTGTCGGCAAGTGTCTTTGATGTATGCTGTCTACACAGAGGCATACAAGGTGTAATAAAATTTGTCAATATACAGTGGTAAGGGACATTTAGTGCAAAGTAGGAACAATTCAATGGATAATGCTCAGTATTAGAAGTAAGAACCAGCAATTATGTGAATAAATTTGCATATCAAATTTTTGAGCAGCCATCTAAAAAATATTTTGCCTACAATTAATATTAGTTAGAAAGTTACCATCACAGATCTACATACTCCGTGTTACCATGTAGGCATATTAATTTTAATTATATTGGTTAAGTTCTGAATCATAAGTGAACCTGGGGCACTTGTCATAAAATATGATTTAAGTTTTATTACCAGGGAAATTCAATTACATGTATCTACTTTTAACTTTTTAACAGTTATTTAGGTCAATGTTTACTTATTTGCCCAAGGCCCATACTTTGGTAAAAATGGCCCATCATTTTCAGACCAAGTGGGCCCAGGACCCAGTACTTTCAAATTCTTGGCAGATCTCTGGATGATTATGGGATTATTCCAAGGTATTGAATTCTTACCACTCCCGGTCAGGCTGCACATTTTTCTCACCCTGTGTTTACTCTTATAATTTCTATTTAAATATTATTAATGTTTGTAATACTGTTGAATGGTTTCTAATAAAACATTTCCTTACTTAAATAACTCAAATTAGTACATATCTTAATTACAAACCATGCTTGCTAAACGTTTTTTAAAAAACAATTGTTTTCTTTGTAATGGTGTTTAGAATTCTAAGGGAAGCAACTCTGTAAATACCTTATAGGAATAATAGGCTAAATATAATGTTAAATGTCACATTATCATTACAGTTTCATGCAATGTTCAACTATCAGTTATCAGAAGAAAAAGACATAAATGAATGTCAAACTATTTCAAATTTTCATTTTGGAATAAGAATTATATTTATTAATTGATTACATAAGAATATTCAATATGTTTCATCATCAAGAAAAAAAAATCAAATTTGAAACATGGACTTATCCCTAAATTAGTTTTCATGATTGTCTCCCCTGTGTTGTTTATATGCAATTATTAAAATTTTAAAAATGG